CACCTGGGCTGGGACTGGTCCCGCGGGTGCAGGGTAGCAGGAAGCTCTCCACACACTCACCGGACCTGGGCTAGGACTCTTTTTTTTTTTTGATGGCCAGAGAAGCTGAGTATTTTTTCATGTATTTATTGACCACTTATACTTCTGAGAAGTTTCTGTGCATTTCAGTTGTCCTTTTTTTTTTTTTTTTGACTGGGTCTTTTATCATGTATTTATTGGCCATTTGTACTTCTGACAAGGGTTATTCATTTGGGTTTTTTTTTTTTTTGACTGGGTCTTTTATTTTGGGGTGTCTGATTTTTAAAGTTTCTTTATATGTTCTAGATATTAGCTCCCTGAGAAGTAACTGGCAACACTTTTTCCTTGTTCTGTAGGTTGTTTATTCTCTCTGGCGGTTGTCTCCTCTGTTGTCCAGAAGCTTTAAAAATTTAGTTAATCACATTTGCTGATTCTTGATATGACCAATTGTTATTTGTGCAGTTGAATAAGGTAACAGTAATGGAGAGGAGACAGGACCCTGAAATGCTCTATGAGGGTGGACTACTACAGGAGAAACTTCCTCAAGCTCATATAACTCCATCTCCTTTAACTTATTTCTCATCCCATGAATTTGTGGATGTTGGTAAGTATCAACAGAAACTTATTATAACAGCCTCATAACAACATTCTGATTCTTCAAACAGAGGCCCACTGTTAACAGGTATCTTAACTTCCTTTTGCCTTCTTTGGATTAAAACAATATGAGTTGTGTAGGTTTACAAAAGAATTACGAAAGGCAAAATACAACCCATGAAAGATGAACAACTATTGAATGTGCATTTAAAAAGCTAAAGTTTGAAGATCACTAATGTGATTGAAAGAGTTCAGAACATGATAATTTGATTTAAATTCCTCAGGATATAATGAAATAGAAAATTTCAGAAGTAGAAGGATTCTACCATACATTAGAGGACAGAAGAGAGACCTTTCAATTTCTAATCAACTAGATTAATAATATCCATTTTCAACATCTCCTGAGTCCACTGCCAGAAGTCAGGAATGTAGTGGTAATTCTGGGCCCTGGTTGCTGAGATCTGGTATAGTAGGACTGACCTTGTGCAAGCAGAAAGTCAACAGTTCCTAGATGGCCTTCTGAGGCAGCCATCATCAGGGGAGTGCGACCCTGCTTATCTGCCATGTTGACATCAGCTCCATGGGTAAGCAGAAGATCAACAATCTGCAAGTGGAGGGAAATAGGGGTTAGCTCAAGAAAATCTGTTGAAAAGATATGCTATGCTATATAGGTAGAGGTACTTCTGCTGTGCGGGGCAGGCACCTGTGTAAGGGGCTTTCTACTATAAGAATCCCCTATAAGTACCTGCATGCTTCTAGTACCATGTTGACCCTAGGAATCTCTAAATATGTTAGAGACAGCAAAATAAGATTCATCTCTGAGTATCTGCCTAAGCTACCAGTAAAGAAGGAAAAAAAAAGCCAAGATGTAGCTAAACATCACAATGGAAGCTCTGACAAAAGTCACTGCCATCTTCTTATCAGTGCCTTTTATTTATCTCCAAGGAGCTTCAAGTTTGCCTGCAGTGGTGAATACCACTGAAGCAGCTACAAAGAAGTGCCTCTGATATTTCTTTACCACTGTTTGCTTTTTAGTCTTGTTTTTCCTACTCAAATACTTTTTAAATTTATTTTTTATTTTATTTTTCTTGTGGTACTGGGGATTGAACTCAGGCCTTTAAGCTTGCCAGGCAAGCGCTTATTCTACTGAGCTATCTTGCCAGCCCCTCAAATACTTTTTTTAAAAAAAAATTTATGTATTTGGTACAGGGTTTCACTCTACAGCTCAGACTGTAGTGATCTTCCTGTTCTCAGCCTCCCCAGTGCTGGGATTACAGGTGGATACCACCACATCTGGTCTTGGCGGCTGGCTCAGCTTGCCCAGGGGAGGAGCTGGAGCAGCACGTGGTGCCAAGGATTGAATCCTGGACCCTATACTTGCCCAAGGAGGTGCTTATTCCACTAAGCTATTTCACTGGCCCCCTATTCAAATACTTTTAAAGATTATTATCAATATCATCTCTTTTCCATTCTAGGTATAGAGATTAGAACCAGCCATAACCCAAACATCTGGAAAGTCACGTAACTAGAATTTACATCTACTGCATTTTCTTTTAGCAAGTCTGAGACACCTGCCCGGGGCCATCTGAGATACAAACTTTTCCCTCATCTGATGGATACTGTGAAATGTGAGAATGAGGTTACTCCAAGTTGAGAACAAAGGTAGGTAGTCAATCTAGATGACAAAGATAGTTCTGAATGTGACTCTATCACCTTGTCAAGTAATAATATTAGTAACAAAGGCCCAAGTTCTTAAACCCAAGGACTTACAGGTAACCAAAAAAATTTTTTTTTGTATTTTAGGGAGGGGTCTCCAGGGTGTTCAGGGTCTCACTACTAGGTCAGACTCGTAGTGATTCTCCTGTTTACAGCCTCCCAAGAGCTGGGATTATAGGCGTGCGCCACCACGCCCAGTCTCAATCGTGGCTCAGCATGCGGGGTGGGGGGCGGCATGGCAGGCCTGGGGATCGAACCCCCAGGCCCTACGCCTGCTTAAAAATCTTGATCTTTTTATTCTTTGCGTCAGTAGTTTGTACCTGTAACTCGCCGCTGCCTGAGTGCTAGCAGTTACTACCTGCTTACCTGCCAGTGGCCCTGGCGAACAGTGCTGAAGAGGGGTACTGCCCCTCGTCGGTTTGGCTGGGCCACTGCAGCACCTTGCTCCAAGAGCAGACGGCACACCTCCAGTTCACCCCTTCCCGCTGCAGCTGTCAGGGCTAGGGCAGAGAACAGGCGAGGTTAGGAGGCTCTTTTCTCTTTACTCCCCAATATTAAGCATGGCCTTCAGCTACTTCCAAATAGTGATTTTAACTGAATATTCAGTTTTTTTTTTTTTTTTAAATACTGGGAAATCAAACCTAGGGCCTTTGCACTGAGCTACATCCTCAGACATTTTTTACTTTTTGATAGAGAGTCTTGCAAAATTGCTGAACTGTCTAGGCTGGCTTGAATTTGTAATTCTCCTGCATCTGCCTCCCATAATACTCAGATTACTGGTGTACACCACCATGTCCTGTGGAAGGAGACTTCTTTTAAAGGATAATAAAGAATAAAAACTTTTAAACAGGCTCACAATATCTGGGGCAATCATTACAATACATCTACTGAACTTCGACTAACTCACCTCGTTTCACTGCTTTTTCTACTTAGACTGTCTTCCCTGCTTTGGCCTCCCTCTCTTTTGGTGCCTCATTCTAGCTATCAGCCTTCTCCTAGTGTATGTGTGAGTGGAATTCAGAGAGAAGGGATTTTATAGAACTAAAGGCAATTCTGTAGTTAGCTGGGCCTATGTCTGCCAGACCTTTACTCTTGAGCTGCCAAACTCAATGAACCAAGGTCAAGATTTGCAGTCTAAAGGCCTTAGGTGGGCCTGTCTTCATGCCTGCCCCTCATTCTTGTCTTCCTTCCTCATTAACTGAAATACAAGCTTTTTCTATATTTGCAAACATTTTTAGTAGGAGGATCAGAATTATTCAAGGTCTTAAAGATGAGAAAAAAAGGTGAGATAAACTATTTTTTTCTGAATACAAAATAAAAGAGATGGCTTTCAATGTATAGTGTGGTACTTCTGTAATCACAGCATTTTGAGAGGCTGAGGCAGGAGTTCCAAATTCTAACTGAGCCTTGGCAATTTAGCAAGACCCTGTCTCAAGTAAGACCAAACCAGACCAGATCAAACCAAACCAAACCAACAAAAATAAGCAGTTATGTCAGTATAAAAATACATCATGAAACAAACCCCATTATTTTATGATCTTTGATACAGTGGAGTTTCTCTTAGTGTGTACTTCATCCTCAGTGTGCTGTTTTAACAGCAGAAAAGGAATTTGCAGATAAGTTTATCTTTTAACAAATAGGTATTTATTTTATTTAGCCATGAAATTAAAAACACATATTATTCTGTAGGATGGGTGAAGGGTGGGTAGGATAGAAAAGGATTATGACAGGAGTTACATTTCATTTTAAAGAGAGGAGTTTTATGTCCTTCCTCAAATGGATTTGGAAAACTGATGTGGGAGACAGCAGGTCTTTCCTTCATTATGACCATCTATTTAATGACAAGTCAGCAAGTGATGGTGCTGCACAGTGGCAGATATTTCAATATGCGAACATTGCAACCTAGTCAGAAAAGCCACCGAAATTTAAATCAAATGGTCACTTGTATTATTTTTGCATTTAGGTGCAAATTACAGCATCTTGTCTTTGGGCATGGCCTAATTTATACACAACTGAGTCATATGTAAAACTAAAGCCACCTATAATTTCCACAAAGATAAACCTTTAAATAATCTTTTCCTTCCCCAATGATACGATGGCCTTAAGAAGTGTGACAATTTTCCATGTTATATGTATATATTTGTCTTACATGTATTAATAATATTTTGGAACTCTTGACACTAGCATTTCTGTTCAGTTCCTCATAGGAGGACAGAGACTTGGTCTTATATCTAAGGGTGAAGGTCATTTTATCTTATTTTGTTTTTTTACTAATAAACAACATGAATTTTATTTGCATTTATTTTATGCTTAATTTATTCCCGTGCCATAAGTTTTTGTTTCTTCAGTTTCTTCTGGGATATCTTTTTCTTCTGTGCAGCTTCCTCCTCTGGTTTGGGAACAATTCGTTCCTTTTTAGTAAGGATCATCTCAGTATGGCAGGGGGAGCTCAGGGATGGGTTAATCCGACCACGAGCTCTGTAAGTACAGCGGCACATCTTGGGTGCTTTGTTCACCTGGATGTGTTCAATAACCAGAGAATCTACATCTAAACCCTTAAGTTCAGCATTACTCTCTGCATTTTTAAGCATGTGTAGCAAAAATTCAGCACTCTTTTTGGGCCACCAACCCTGTGTCCAGCTCCACTGTTTGGCCCGGGCACACCTACCAACTCCACCATCATAACGCCGGAATGGCACACATTACTTCTTTAATGTGACATCCTTGAGATCCTTGGTGGCCTTTCAGATATGCATACGCTTGATGGCCTGGGCAGGTTCACGCGTGTTCTTAAAGTGAACACGAAGATTTGAGCCTCTTGATTTGCATGATTTGGTGGGGTTTTCTGGGTCAAGAGAATAGCGAACCATTTTCACAGGTCACCTACGGCCGCTCACAGGAAGAGCTGAAGGTCATTTTAAAGCTCTGAATGAATGAACACATATGCTAAGGGCTATAATTATTTACTGGACAAGGAAGTTTTGCCCTGATTCTTTTAAATTCATGTGATCATCTTTATTCCCCAATTTTAGGAAAAAACATGACCTGTATATAGGCTGGAACCCCAGGATAGTTTAAGAAGCTGACAGGGATAGATATGGTTGGACATCATCAGAATCACCTTTTTAGTACAGTAAGCTCACTACCCCATTGTTCTGATCCCATGTAAATAGCTGCGAGGTGATGTGGCTGCTGCCAGCCTCCCTGTGTGTGTAGGACAGACACATTCTGTTTCACCAAAGAGCCTATAGAAATCCGGAGAAAACAAAAGATACTTAACAATCAAGTCTCTTAACAGTGAACCTAGTTAACAGAACATATTTCAATATTCACAGCCAGTGCTCTTCTGCAAAGTTATACTGCTTACTCCAAGAGTTACACGACTCTAGTTGGCCTATTTCTCTGTTAAATAATACATTTTTATGTGAGGGAATGTTCTACTTGGCCCTTTTCTTTGTTATACTATCTCTGTTGCTTAGGTTATGATGTCATTTGGCAGCAAATTTCAGCTGATAGCTAGACATGCTCATTAACACAGCTGGCCAATTTCATTTCAAACACAGTTTGGACTTATCAAATTTGAACAGTGAGAGTTGCTTTGGTTAGATTTTATGAGTCTTATCAAAGGCTGTTAGAACTGTTTTTAAAGGAAAGATTAAGAAAAAGCTGGGTCTATAAAGTAATAAAGTGATTCTTAGAGCAAACTTAGCCATTAGGAGCAAACTCTCTTCCCAAAGACCAGAAAATGAATTTGTTCCCTAGTTTGTCAGCATCTGGTGAGATTATCTGACATAAATGTTTTTTTCCCTCAAAGAGAAACAGCAAAAGTTAGGTAGATGGGATGCTGATACTAAATAGAATGCAGAGAAGTAAATGACTCTATTTTCAACCTTGAAGGAGTATGCCATGTAAAATCAATGGTGGGAAGGTGATTGGGAAGACATACTGATTACTGCTACTCAAAATATTAGTTAAATATTTATTGAGCTATTTGTCAGACACTATTTCTGTTCTCAAAAAACCCATGGTCAAGTAAGAAAAACAGATAAATCCACTACTGTGAATATGGTTAGCACAACAGAGATAAATCCATGGTACGGAAATGGTGGAGGAAAAGTATCTGAGAAGGCCTCCATGAAGAAATAATGATCTGAGCTACATGAGGAAAGATAAACAGGAGACTTATAGGCATAGAAGTACGTTCTGGAGTGGGGTATGCTGAGATGGCACTGAGACAGCATTGTGGGAAACATTGTTGTTATCATAATTGGAATTTTTGGAGAAGATAGGCAATAGATGAACCTGGAGATTATGACTGGTTTTTCTTTTTATGCTACACTAAATAACTTAATTCTACTAGCAGTAAAGCAAACTGACATTAAGTTTTGATTTCTTAAAATTTTGAGGTAGTACAAATGTATAAAAATTAATAGTACTTGGGAGTCTGAGGGAGGAGGATTGTTGGGTTACAAAGTGAGCTCAAGGCCAGCCTGAACTGTAGAGTGAGACCTTGTCTCAAAAAGACAAAAAACCCTTATCAGACCCAAAAGCTACAACTCTTGTTGCACAGGTCCTGCTTTACCTTGGTCTTAACCATCCAGCAGAAAAGTATAAAAATGAAGTATAAGAAGTAAAGCCATGCTGTTATGTTGAGCTGTAGGGGACTCAGGTCAACAATTTCTGACATTGCCAGTCAAGTGGAAGCCCCAATACTATTATGGACTACTGGACTCTTTTAGAATATTTTGCTGAGTTAACACACCTATAATATTCAAATAACAGAACTAAACAAAAAAAGGGGATACAGATGAATGTTCATTTTGTATCTGTGTATTCAAAATGGTTAGGATAGATATATAGCTACAATCTCTTAATAAATAGAGGGATTTGTTCTAATGGTGTCTGTAAATAGGATAGCATGTCCACATCTTGTACAGCAATTAACCACTAGGAAAAATGTATGCAGTGTGTTAATTACTGAAACTGTCCTACCAATTTGGTTTGAAACTGTCTCATTGCTATTTGTTTCTCAATAAAATTATGGGGAAAAAAAAGGGCTGGTGAGATTGCTCAACGGACTAAGCACCTGCTTAGGCAAGCACAGGGACCAGGGTTCAAACCCCAGCACCACATGCTGTGCCACGCCACCCTGCCCCTGGGCGATCTGAGCCATCAAGTCTGGGCATGGTAGCATACACCTGTAATCCCAGCACTGTGAAGACTACAAACAGGAGGATCACTGCTTCTGAGGTGCACAGGGAGACCCTGTAATAAATACATTAAAAAAAGGAAAGAAAGAAGAAAATTAATCTAGTATTTTTCAAAGTCTGAGGCCACAAGGTTTTCTCCTAATATGAAATTCATATTGTTGAAACTAACACTTGGGCTGAGTAGATAGCTTGGTGGTCTAAATGCCTGCCTGGCAAGCACAAGGACCTGGGTTCAATTCCACATGCAGGCAGTAGTGCATGCTGCACCTGCCCTAGAACTCTGGACAGGCTGGGCATGGTGGCTCATGCCTGTAATCTCAGTGCTGAGGAGTCTGAGACAGGAGGATCACTACAGCCTGAGCTGCATACCAAGCCCCTGTACAAAATTAATTAATTAAAAAAAGAAAAAAGTTGCCCTCTATTTAGCTTATCCTTTCTTGAAGCTTTTTAAAGATTTAAGTACAGCATTAGATTATATTAATTATTACGATTATTAGCTTTGTAATTTCTATTCATGGTCATTATTGGGCCATGACTTTTCATCCTCCCCCCTCAGTGGTTAGATGGCCATATAGTAGGCAGAAGAGGTCTTCTGGGAGATACAGCAGCACTGTGTTGGGGCAGACTGTGCTAACAAACAAAAAATAAGCCAACATATCCCTTCTGTGGCTCTAGGACACAAATGGACACTCCAAAAATGCTGATGTCCTGGTCATTCTCTTCCCTGTGACCTGTTCTCTAGCTTCTCTGAGAGCGTGGTTTCAGAGACAACAGCTGTTTCCAGCTGCACATTTTCCTTTATTCTTTTATGGGCTCTTAAGTGCAGCTGCTTGGCATCTGCTCCCTTCAGCTATTACAGGGCTGGGGGTTGCTTGAGAAGCAAATTTGTGAGCTTTGGACCACTTCATGTGACAATGTTAAAAAAAAAATGAAGAAATTTGTATGAAATTCTGTCATGGGAAGAAAGCATAATTCAATAGGTTGTTCTAAATTTACATGAATTTAGTCTTATTTTTAGTAACACTCTTATCCTAACCAATATACATATCTTTCTTCTTTAGTAAAATACTTTCCCCCTAAATTGCTCATCTAAATATTAGTCTATTTATCCTGGCAAAGATGACACACATCTGTGGTCACTTGGCCACTTTCCTTGCCTCAGCTTCATAAAAACACATCGAAGATGACTAATGTTTCTCCAGGTTCTCCATTTAGACATGGAGGGAGGACAACAATCATTTCCTGCAAAAGCAACAAGGAAGAACCTTCTATTTGTGCAATGAGTACCACATGCTTTGGAGGTCTGGAAGACCCTTGCATTCTCCAAGTATCACCAAGTATCTTGCAGTGAGTGACAAATGATTCAGAACTGTCTTTGTTTAAACCAAATGGAATTGCATGGGGCTAGGCTTTAACAGGGTGGCACCTTCATTTTGTACAGAGACAGCAACTTTACTCAGAATGTAAAACTCCATTGTGTCAGCTATTATTCTACCATAGCATCATGTTAAAACACGGATGTGGCTGGAAGTGTAGCTCAGAGGTAAAGCAACTACCTAGAATGCATAAAGTCCTGCCTGGGTTCAATCTCTAGCACCGTTAAAATCAGAGGGGGATAAAAATGTAATCCGCTGGTTTATAACTACAAGTGAACTGAGTGATTTAAATGGGAAAAGTACTACAAAAATCGTATAGAAAAGAGAAAGTTCACAATTGTTTTCTGCTCTGGTTTAGCACATTGTAAGGAAACTTTCAGTCTTTTAAAAATACTTGGAAAAAAAATAAAAATACTTGGAAACAAGAGTGGAGAAAAGTTTTGTTTGAAATTGCTAATGGTATGGAGAATCCAAAGGGAAAAGGACTAAAACAGGAGTATTTGCTAGCTTGGGCTAATCAGTCTCCAACACAAAGGTCACAAGACAGAAGAATGTCAAAGGTATGCTAGAGAAAAAAAATAAATAATGGTATGACATAAGGAGAGTCTAAATAGACAAAACATAACATGAGAGAAAATATTCACGAGAAGTACCTGTCTCTCCCCAGAGACTGTCAAAACTATTGATTTGTGCTCGCTCCACTTCTTCTTCATCTTTTTCTGGAAGATCAAGTAGGTAGGAGACAATCTGAAACAAGAAATTGTGTCAGTTCAAACTTCACATACAACTGTTACTAATTTGCTGCTTGTGAAGTCTGTAAGATACTTACGTGGGTCATCCAAGTACCACTAACTATCTTGGACACAAAAGGAATCAGAACTCAGTGGCTTAGCAAATAAAACCAAATATCTGATAAGCATTTATCCTAACAGTTTATATATTTCTTTTTTTTTTAATTTTTTTTTTTTTAAAATTTTTTTTGTGTGTGTGTGTGTGTGTGTGTGGCCAGCTCAGTCCACCAGGGGGCGGGCTGGCTGGCATGTGGTGCTGGGGGATTGAACCGCGGTCCCTGGGCTTTGCTAAGCTTGTTCTAAGTAGGTGCTTTAGACCACTGAGCCATCTCACCAGCCCCTATATATTTCTTTTTTAAAAAACGCATTTAGTGCAGGGTCTACAGAGTCTACATGGTCTCACTACACAGATTGAACTTGTGGTGATCCTCCTGTTTTCAGCCTCCCAAGTGCTGGGATTACAGGTGCGCACCACCACGCCCAGTCAGTCTCCGTCTCAGTGCATCCCAGGCATAGGGCTGGCACGGCATGCCGGGGATCAAACCCCGGTCTCCGTATCTGAAAAGAGCTGTTATAGTTTCAGAAATTCTGAAAGTCAGTTGTAAAATAAAATAAATTATTTATCAAAAATGAAATAAATTACATCAACAATAAAGGTAAAAAGTACTCAAATATGAGCTGGAGATGTAGCTCAGTGGTAGGACCCTTGCTTAGTATATGTGAGCACCTAGCTTTGATCCCCAGCACAGAAAATAACTTCCTAATTATTTAACTACATCTTATTACTATCTATGCTGCTGAGGTTATTTATATTTATTGTATCTATAGAGCAGATGTTAGGGTTTGTGTCTAGGTGTCCCCCCAAACCCTCGTGCAGTCAGGGAGTGGCTCCTGGAGCTTGTGACTGATTGTGGGTGTGGATGCTGCACCTGCCCTGGGGCAGGTAATCTGCAACACAATGTAAGGAGGGGAGAGAGGCCAGCTAGGTGCCTGAGCCATGCGCTCCCCTTTGCTCTCTGCTCTTTGCTACCTCCATAAAAGGTTGCCCTCTGCCATGTGCTACTCTGCCTTGGAGCCAGCTGAGTATGGACTGAAAAGTGCAGTAACTGCAAGCTAAACCAACTGAGTGTTGGGTATTTGTCCCAGCAAGGAGTAAAGAGTAGCTGAGGCAGTAGAAATATTACATAATGGCATCCACATCTGTGTTCAGTGATCATCATACTCGTAGCCTGAAATTGGCCATGGTGGAAGTACTCTTACCCCAGAAATTGGAAAACAGCAGAAATCAGTATTTGGCTTAGAGATAAAGCTAAAATTTCAGTTTAATGAATATATTTACATGAAATTACAAGTGGTTTAGCAGTATACTACATATTGCATTTAATGGCAGTAAAATGATTGGGAAAAGAGCAAAGTGGGATGTAACTCCATTTGTCAAATCATGGTTTGGTTGTAACCACAGGTAAAAACTGATAAAAGTACTCAACATATTCTTTTTTATTTTTTTGTATTTTAGGGAAGGGTCTACAGGGTGTTCAGGGTCTCACTACTACATCAGACTCCTAATGATCCGCCTGTTTACAGCCTCCCAAGAGCTGGGATTATAGGCACGTACCACCATGCCTAGTCTCAGTTGCTGTCTTTGTGCACCCCGGGATTGAACCCCTGGACCCTGGGCCTGCTTGCAGGCGCTTTAATCTGATGAACTATTTGGCCGGCCCAAAACATATTCTTTTTTTTTTTTTTTAAAGGAATTTTTAACAGATATGAATCTTTTTTTTTTTAATTTTATTTATTTATTTATTTATTTATTTATTAGAGAGAGAGAGAGAGAGAGAGTGTGTGTGGTGTGTGTGTGTGGCCAGCTCAGCCCACCAGGGGGCGGGGCTGGCTGGCACGTGGTGCTGGGGATCGAACCGCGGTCCCTGATGCTTTGCTAAGCTTGTTCTAAGTAGGTACTTCAGACCACTGAGCCATCTCTCCAGCCCCCCAAAACATATTCTTTAGATCAGTAAAATTTATTTACCCCCCCCAACACCCCTACCTATTCCACTCTGCTCCCCTTCACAAGGTTACCTGTTAAACATTTCATATCAAACTACCAATTTCATATATTTGCCATTATTAACATTAATATTATAAATAAGTAATTTAGCAAAACTATAATTTGTATAGTGTTTAAGTATTTAGAAAGCACCCTCTTAACAGTATGAAAAAGAATTCAGTAACTTCACTTTAGGAATGGGAAACTAAGATTCTAAGAGATTAGGTAAATCTTCCAAGATCTAGACTTAATGAGCAGCAAAGCTAGGATCAGAACCTGAGCCAGAAATTCTGAGCTTTTTTCATGTTGTGTTCTTCCCATTCCACACTGTATAATGACGTGACAGCAACTAATCACTCTGTAGTTCAGTGTCACTGTTAAATAGGGGTAGAAGTATGGGCGGGACTGGATTAGGTAACTGTCATGGTCCTTTTTAACTCTCATGTTCTATGCCTGTAGTTCTAGGTATGTTATCATGTGAGTCATCAAATGTCTAGCGGACTTTAATCTCTTTATTCCTCAGAGAAGTGACTGAAAATTCATGTTAATTTTCATTGCAATTTTGTAATAGGCATGTCTTTTCTCCCGGTTTCCTAGGACCCTAAATACATGGCTTGAAATTAACATCTTCTTGCCCTTGTCCTACCTCAGTGTAACCCATGCTGGCTGCAGCAATGAGGGCCTGCTGGATGGCATGACTCTTCTTAAACACTCCTTGTTGCTGTCCAGCCATTGTCCAATCACACTGAATCAAAAATTTGACGACCTCTAGATGACCTCGGAGCGCAGCATGAACCAAGGCACACTGCCCATTCTTATCCAAATGATCCACCTAAGGGGAGGGAACAAAAGAATCTGTTAATCAAGACCTGTGGCTGTACTCCCAATCTGGTCATACCAGCTCGCTGCACATCTACACTACCAATACTCACCCACTGATGTTTCTTGAAACAATCTCTGAGAGAAATTACATGATATTTTACTTGTGCTAAGCCATAATTCTGCTACATGTCCCTTCTGAAGAGGAAAAAAAAATCTCAGCTCTTCTTTCTTTCGTTCGTTCGTTCATTCGTTCGTTCGTTCGTTTGTGGTACCAGGGATTGAACTCAGGATCTTGATTCCATTGAGCTATCTCCCCGGCCCCTCATGTTAATTCTACTTTCTGTACAAATAATTTTTTTTAAACCAAGATTTGAGAGACTTATAGCTCTGTTGGGACAGAAGCCAGTCTTTGAAATTATGAAAAGAAGAAAAAAAAACTTGGAGCTTTTTTTTTTTTTGTATTTTAAAGAAGCAAAATATATCATGAATCACTCACTGGACAACCAAGCTTTGGCAAAGATCACCCCCCCCACTCTCTCTCTCTTTTTTTTTTTTGCTCCGAATGGCTTCAGGGCAGGTTTGGCTGGCTTGAGTTGTAGGGATCGAACCACAGCAACCTGAGGCTGACTGCTTTGTTGAAGCAGCCACTTAAAGAACTGAGCTAAGGGGCAGGCCCCCGCCCCCTCTTTCAGAAGTGTGAAATCTCAAAGATCTGGCCTAAACTAGGCTATAAGCATTTGGAGCTTAGTGCTAGACTAAACTCTTAACAGCAGTTCTTCTAATTTCAGTGTTGGTTCCAAGATTAGGCTAAAAAAAGAGAATGCTTAAGATGAATCTACTAGAAGACCCCAGACATAAGTTTCACTGCATGAAATAATCTTTTCTAGCACAAATATGCTGTCTGTGGTAGTGAGCACACTTAATATCTAGGTTCTGTCTGGTTGTCCCACTAACTCTGGTTCCACCCAACAATCCACATGAGAGATGTTTAATGAATACTCAGTGTATGCAAGGTAGCACATGGGATAAAAGGTAAATAAGATAGTAATATATAGATTCTGCTCTCAAGAACTTTTAAGTAAGCAAGGTAGGTAGCAAGGTACTGTCCAAACAACAAAAGATATATGACACATGTCAGAAGGAAAACAAAATACAACAACATTTCAGAGAAATGAAAAATTAATTCCTGACTACAACTAAGAACAAATTCAGAAGGAAGGTTTCATGACAACTGGCTAACATAGTAAACACTTGTTCTAGACTTTTTAAGGGTAAGGTACCTAACGGAAGAAGTCTAAAGTGTCAGGTTGAGAGCAGACATGTTTTGTAATGCCAGACTAAGTGGTTTAAATTTAATCAGTAGATAGTAAAGAGTTATTGTGAATCTTTGTGCTCATAAATACATTTTCAAAAACTAAGAAATCATAGCTCCTTAGAGAAATGGTTGATTTCAGTGCTGGGCATTAATAGGAAGAGATGATTCTGGAACATCTTGTTTTTTTTTTTTTTTTTTTTCTGGAACATCTTGTACAAGGAAAAAAGTTATTCCACTACAGTAAGGGAAAGTTAAGTTACAAGAATCAACAACCAAATCTGGGGCAATCTGAGCAACAAAATGAATACTACTGGCAACTGATTAGAGGCCATAGGATAAAATAAATATACATTATTTCAGTGATATAAATAATTGAATAAATAATTACATGATGAGAAGAGACAGCTCTTCCTTCAGTGAATTACAACTAATACATGTTGAAGGAATGATGAAAATAGAAAATCACCACTAAACAAATACCACAGTAATATTATTGAAGCAAGAATCAATGATAAGTCCTAAAATGAGTGGACAAAACTACGATGAGAAATAGGGTATGGGGGCTGGGGAAATAGCTTAGTAGAATTAAGTGCTTGCCAGGGCCCTGAGTTCAATCTCCGGTACCCTCCCCTCTGCAAAAAAAAAAAAAAAAGAAAGAAATAGGATATGTATCTGCTTAGTCTCAAACCATCTACCTAAAAGACACAGTATTTCTTAATTGTAAAGGGAAAAACAATAACCTGAAACAAAACCTAGAAAATTAGTGTAAGTAAAGTGATTGAAATTAACATCATCCATAATAAGACATATAGACATTATGAACCTCAAGTGCCACATTTTAAATATTTATTTATTTATTTGGTACAGGTCTCACCATGCAGCTCAGACTTGTAGTGATCCTCCTGTCTCAGCCTCCCCAGCACTGGGGTTACAGGTGTGTGCCACCATGCCCGGTTTTGGTGGCTGGCATGGCATGCCTGGGTTCCAGGGCTGACCTGGCATGTGGTGCTGGGACTGAGCCCGGGTCCTTGTACTTGCCAGACCACTAAGACCACTGAACTCTCTCCCAAGCCAAGTACTGCATTTCAGTATGAGACAGCATGCCTTTGTATTCTTGCCAGAAATATATAAACCTGATCTAATGAGAAAACGCCAAATTTAAAAATTTTCAACCAGAACAAGTGGCCTATAGTTTTCAAAGTTGCTGAGATCATAAAAGACAAAGAAAAACTGAGAAACAGAATGGAGGAGACTGAATTAAATGCAATATAGGATCTTAAGTTGGTTCTTGTAACAGAAAAAGGCCATTAATAGGACAGCTGGGAAAACTTCAATAAGGTATGCAATTATTAATGGTATATCAATATTAGCTGTCTGGTTTTTATAACTGGAGTGTGGTTATTACTCAATCTGTTACCATTAGAGGAGGCTAGGTGGAGGGTACAGGAGAACTCTCTGGACTATTTTTATAATATTTTTCAATGTCTCAAATCATTTCAAAATAAAAGGTTTAAAGAAATTAAAGGGACAATGTGTAATAGCAAAGTCAAAATCTGAAAGGGGTGTATCTACATAAGAAGATGATAAGAATAATTCAGGAGGATGATGGTAGTTGGGATAGAGAAAACGGAATTATTGTTCAAGCTATTTTCAGGATAAAATTTAATGTTTGGTGACTAATTGAACTTGGAAAGGAAAATGACAGTGAAGCCAAAGATTCTTTAGAGAAAAACAGGTACAGCATTATCAGATTGTAAAAACTAGGAAGAGTAGGTAGTTACAGGTAAAGATGATGAACTAGGCTGGGCATGGTGGTCATGATGTACTCTAAGCATTCAGGAGGCTGAGGCAGGAGGACTTCCATGAGTTTGAGGCCAGCCTGGACCACATAGTGAGTTCAAGGCCAGCCTGAAGTATATAGCAAGACTCTCTCTCAAAAATCCAAATCAAAACCAAATCCAAATCAAAACAAAAAGCAACCACAACAACAAAAACTAGGAACTCGCAAGTTGGGAGTTAAGAATCATCCAAATGTAGGTAGAAGAGTTTAAGCCTGGTTGTATTTGATTCCAAAGTCTATGATTTATAATGTCATCTGTCTGCCTTAGCCTCCTGAGTAGCTAGAATTACAGGTTTAAGACACTATGCCAGTGTGGAGAACCACCTGGGCAATTCTCCTTGAAAGAACAATGGTCTGCACTTTGGCTGCCTGACCCTATTTCTATGTACTGCTATATACAGAGCTGTCTAGGACTTTTCCTTATCCCTTCACTTGACGTTAAGCAGTCCATATTGGTCTAGCCAAGGTGCTGGTGGTAGTCTTTGAAGACGGCACATGTGTTTCCCCAGTAACCCCCACCTACTGTTCTTTAATATGAGCTCAGTGGAAACGGGAGGAAAAGCCAGGGCTCCACACTGTCAGCGGGCATGGAGCTTCGAGATAGAGGCTATGATTTCCCAGGGCTTGAAAGATTACACATCAGAGCTGAAGCACGGACCCCAAGACATTACATACTATCTCTTTTTTTTTTTTTTCTTTCCTTTTTTTTTTTTTTTTGTGTGTGTGCAGGGTCTCACTACATAGCTCGAACACACAGCGATCCTCCTGTTTTCAGCCTCCTAGTGCTGGGATTAGAGGTGTGTGTCACCACACCCGGGCTCTGTGGCCAGGCTCAGCACGCCCTCAGTGGTGCTTACATACTATCTCAGTTATGCAATGCAGACCACTGTCTGCATATCCTACTCTGCATATTGCAGAGGTAAATACAGGCCTCCTACCTAGCTCAGTTCACAGTACTCATCTACTTCGTGCATTCTCAGTCATTTATCCTCAAGCTACTCCTTCATGACTGAATAAAATCTGGGTTTGGGCCTCTGTCCAGGCCTTTGCTCCGGATAGCCATCACTATGGTTGACTTACGAACCTTTGGTTCTCCATAACTATAAATATGCTTTAGTGTCTTTATTCCCACAGTGGGTTGCACTAAGAGTGGTAGACTGGAATTAACTTGACCAGGATTCCAATAACTTATCATGGCATTACAAATATAAACTTCCAGGACTGAGATGTGGACCAGGAATGACTCTCTACATGCCAGGCCTTATTTTTTTTTTTTAAATAGATGTAAAGGTGAGATTGAAATCGGTTAAATGACTTTCCTAAGTCTTTTTTTTTTTTTTAATAAAGTAAGTGTACATTTGTCCCAATTGTGGACTTGATCCACTTGTGTTTGATTCCAAAGCTTTTGACTTTAGTGACTTGCATCCTTTCTAGAGAAAGTTACACTGCAAAATACTAAGGAAGCAGAGGTAGTAAGTAGAGATGAAACATCTAGTGGACGAGGAAGGGAAAAAAGAGACACAGACTCTTGGCAGGCAACCAAGAGAGGAGGGTTTCTGTGTTAGGTCAGGGGAGACATTCATAGGTTTCTAGAAATTGAGTTTGAGGGGATAGTATGACTTTAGAAAAGAAAGAATGTGAGACCAACAGAAGCTTACCAGGATCAAGAACACAGGTGGAAGCAATTGCTTTGGAGAGTAAGGCAAATTCTTCCTTCTCTGAAGCAAAAGTATAAGTGAATGAATGTAATGACAAGCGGAGTTCTGAGATAGAGGTACATTGAAATGAACTCAATTTTACTAATACAAGAGTAGAAAAGGTGTGATACATTTTGAGAAGAGTGGAAATGATTTACATATCTACTCTGAGGAACCAATGAAAGATAAATAAAATGGTGGGTTGGCAGTGTAAGGGCTGAGCAGCAGGAAGGACCCAGTTAAGACCTGTATTTATAGTATAACAGTAATAACGTAATGACCAATTATTTATCTAGAAATGTCCATTCAAATAAATGGATGTTAGGGCTGGCCAGATAGCTCAGCAGATTAAAGCACCTGCTTAGGCAGATGCAGGGAATGGAGTTCGATCCCTGATGTACCGGCCAGCCCTGCTCCTGGGGCATGCTGAGACAGCAACTAAGACTGGGTGTGGTGGCGCACGTCTGTAATCCCAGTGCTTGGGAGGCTGAAAACAGAAGGATAGCTATGAGTCCAATGTGTGTAGTGAGACCCTACAGACACTGTACTAAATACATAAAAAGCCCAAAAAACCAAATAGATGTTATTATAGGTGGACAATTACTGTATCACGTCTATGCCCATGGCTGCAATTGCAGTGAGACTCAGGTTGCAGATCCTAAAGGAGTCTCAGGAGTCCCCTTTTCTTCCCTGGCAACAGCACTGGAAACATCAGAATGAGATCACGCGTGTCACACGTAGTTCACTCGGAAATGAGCATCCTGTTTGTTTTCAGGAATGAATCCGAATACAGTAAGCTACAACTTTCCCCAGAACCTTACATTTGTGAAGCTAGCATTTTTCTTTTCTGAAATTGAGTTCTTTCATACAAGTGGCTCTGGAGATAAAGCAAGCATTTTGAAAATGTTTCTAGAGAGCTATAATGTATTAACAAACATTTTGAGATGCCTTGGTTCACTCTGAGTATAAACAGGGAGAATCATCTGTTCCGCAAATTCCTAAGATGGTGGTCTTTAAGGACAGAATGAGGAGATCTGGCCTTCTTTCATCTACTTGGCTAACATTTCTTTTCTACACATGAAAGGGTGTGAGAGTCTGCAGGAGCCATTCAGTTCAGACTTGCCACTGCTGGCTCCCCATTCCCTCTTTTCTTTATTAGAAAGTGGCCTCTTCTGAGACCAGTAGACAATTTCTGGGTTGTCTAGTAGAGATCTTTTTTTTTTTTTTCTCGTTTAGAATTTAAAATATCTTTAATTAATTAATTTGGTACAGGATCTTGCTATGCAGCTCGGACTCACTAGTGATCCTCCTGCCTCAGCCTCCCCAGCACTGGGATTATAGGTGTGCGCTATCACACCCAGTTCTGGGGCCCTTACAGCACGCCCAGGGTTCCAGGGCTGGCATGGCATGCGGTACCAGGGATCAAACCCAGGTTGCTGTGCTTAGATTACTGAGCTGTCTCCCTGCCTAGTCGGGACTTTTTGCGGTTGCAGAAAGATATACTTTCCTAAGTGCCTTGCAAAGATTAGCTGTGTCCAGGTGCAGTGACAAGCGGGCAAACACTGGGAAATAAGCAGCATCAGCTCTCCTTTCGATCTGTTTTCCCAGCAGGGTTTGATGTACCTAGACTCTCAAGGTCACTCGGGATTTAAGGAAGATTCCACATAAGGAAGGAAGAAAAAGGGAAGGAAGAAATAGCAGTAGAGGTGGGAGCCATTACCTTGGCCCGTTTCTTGCACAACAGCACCACGATGCTCAGGAACCCTGCTGCCGCTGCATAGCCCAGGGGAGTCAGGCCACTTTCGGAGGAGGCATCCACATTGGCCCCAAACTCTAAGAGCAGGGCCACCATTTCTGTGTAACCAAGATGAGACTGGACACATAGAATTGGAGCGTTGTTTAAGACCTCTGTCCGGTAATTAATATTGGCACCTCCCAAAATCAGCAGTCTGCTGACCTAGAAACAAGGACAAAACCAGAAATAATAACCAGACAGGCATCAGGCATGTCTTTTTTTTTTTTTTTTTTTCCTAATTAAATCACCTGAGATACTCCAACAGTATCCTAGAAGCATTTAGAAACTTATATTTTATATCCTTGATTTGTTCCTTTTTCAATACAGGTACCTTGGTTTTGGAAAGGAACGTTAAAAAGTCTCCTTTACATAAACTGCTAAGTAGGTGGAGCAAATGCTACACATACTCTAGCACTGAATACTATCTCTACTAATCAAATTATTGATCAGAAAAGCTTCTCCCAAACGAAGGCTGGCTGAGAACAATTACACTCTAGAACTACCAAGACCTGATTTTTTTTTTAATTTTATTTATTTGTTTATTTATTTATTTATTTTGTGTGTGTGTGGCCAGCTCAGCCCACCAGGGGGCGGGGCTGGCTGGCATGTGGTGCTGGGGGATTGAACCGCGGTCCCTGTGCTTTGCTTGGCTTAGCTTGTTCTAAGTAGGTGCTTTAGACCACTGAGCCATCTCACCAGCCCCCAAGACCTGATTTCATATGTATAAGTCAGCTTATAGAAGGTCAAAGGAAAAATAGGGTTAGTTTTCAATTCACAGAATAAGACATGGGCTGAGCATATAGCTCAATAGTGCAGTGCCTGCCTGGCAAGCGCAAGGTCCTAAGTTCATTCCTGGTATGGTACAAAACAAAACAAAACAAAATGAAACAAAGCCCAAATGCAGAATGAGTGTAACAATTTGAAATATATTATCAGTAAAAGGCTAGTTAATAAGAGAGGCTAAGGCAAATCAGCAACTACATAATCACTTATTGTCCTTTGAGGTTTTTTTTTTCCACAGTTACTTTAATCTATTTGTAATTTGTGTTTACCTTTATATTTGGAGTATATAGATTGCGTAAAGAAGCCAGTGCCATGGAGAGACCTTCTGTGCTGTAGGAGATCCAGAGACCTTGGAGGATGGAAGATGATACACCAACTTTTTTGCTCAAACCCTGAAAAATAAACATTGAGACAAGAATTCTTAGGCCTGCTAAAAAGTACCACAAGTAGTAAGTTAATAGCTTCTAGTTTTTGGTGCTAATTAAGGGTCTCAAGCTTAACAATTGCCATGCCCAGCAAAGCTTACCCATAGATGCAGACAAGACCAGTTCTGTTTGTAGGAACAAGGTAACTGAAATTCTAACTCAGTAGTCGCTAGTGCTAAATTAACATCTTTCTTTTCTGCTGTATCTGGATGTAAATTGTTTTTCCATATCTTTTCTATTAGCTTTCTTGATTAAGTCCCTCAAATTCAAGTTACTAAATTAATACAAATTGTGGCAGGGATATTGTGATGTGACCACTGACTATCATTAAATTTTTTCCCCTTGCATTTCAGAAAACTATTTTCTAGCCTCCTTTATAGTTCAGTGAACTATGTAGCTGAGTTATGGTTAAAAAATTTTGGGGAGAAGTAATATGTCTCATACAGGCCTGGCCTCAAAACTTCTTACATATTTCTGCATGTTTTCTACCTTTTTTTTTCTTGATTGTAAGGATCCAACAGAGGACTCTGACACTCACTTAGGAACTAGACCAAGGAGGAACTTGTCTGATGACCTGAACTAGACTGCACTGTAATAGAGAAACAGTAAATCTTTAAATCATTGAGAGACTGCAGGTTTGTTCCTGCTGCCAGCATTCTTTACCCTAACATACCCCCAAACAGCCACATTTGATCATCCTTATGGAATAAAACACAACTTGATTGCCCTCAGCAATAATGTTTTACCTGGTATGAATGGCACAGGCCCTAACTCATGCATTAGCATTTGCCCCTTTCACAAGGGCTTCTCCAGTAGGAGACTGGAATAATTTTTCTTTAAACTATGTTAAGACACTCTCTGGAAGTCATCTTATCCTTCTGTCAAAATCTGGGTCAAGTGAACTGAAAAGGAAACTTGAAGGGCAGGAAGAAGCTAACGAAGTCTGGGGGCCAAGTGGGCCTGGACAGGTATATGTTTTGTTTTGTTCCTTAAAATGCAGGCTGTTTTTCTCAGGATGTCTACACATATCCACACCAGTGAAGTGTATTTATCTGGCGTATTAGGGAAGAGGTGTCTACATAGGAGGAATATGTCAGTTTTTCTGAGACATAGGTTCATCTAAGAAGACCTGAAGTCATAGCACTCAGGCTCTCCACAGGCCAGAATGTCTTAAGAGCAAAGAAAAACTTTGTTGAGAGAATTTGAACACGAAAGACTGAAAGACAAATAATGCTGCAGGAAGGGTAGACGCGCGAACATTACGGAAAGGCATTTCTGATGGGCATCTTTTATCTCCCTTGGGGATATTCTGATGCAACCAAATTATTTAAAAAATTTTGTATCTAAGAAATATTCAAAATAGACCCTTCCCACCGATTTCTTTTTTCTTTTCTTTTAA